CAGGTTGGGAAAGATCATCTTTAAACTGAAGTTGTATTCTTAAGGTATTTTGACTTGTAGCACAGGAGTTTATTAGAACTCCATAATCATCAAATGCAACCTAAAATGCCAATTTTCTTGGAAAAAAAAAACAACAAACCCAATATACGGGGAATTACTCAAATCAAATCTGGCATTTACTGGAAGTCTAACTGAAGAAATCATTAATCCTATCTCTAAGAAAATCTTGGTAAAGAGTCCACTGTTTTGCTACGGCCTCCTTAAAATATGTCAAGTAGGTGGTTATGTACTTTCATAGAATTCCCCTTTCCTCCAAAGCTCTCATCATGTTGTTTTTTTTTTTTTAAAGATTTTATTTATTTATCTGACACAGAGAGATCACAAGCAGGCAGAGAGGCAGACAGAAAGAGAGGAGGAAGCAGGCTCCCTGCTGAGCAGAGAGCCCGATGCGCGGCTCGATCCCAGGATCCTGAGATCATGACCTGAGCCGAAGGCAGCGACTTAACCCACTGAGACACCAGGGCACCCCTCTCATCATGTTTTTAACTAGGTAACTATTTGTGACTCGTTGATTAATGACTACTTCTTCCACCTGACCTTCCCATGAGGGCAAGAACTTTGTTTCACTAAGCACTATACCTCAAGCATGCAGACCAGTGTCTGGTTCAATAAATACTTGTTGAATAATTGAGTAAAAAGTTTAAATGAATGTTACTACAGCTAATGCTGAGAGCCAGAATTAAGATTTAAAGAAAGGCAATAAAATGGGCAGAGCAGTACATTTTGCTTATAGAGAAAGCAAAGGAACCCATTCAGCATTAAGAAATTAAGGAGAAAGAGAGGTAATACTGAATTATTGGTCAAATATTTAAGCACTCCTCTTTACCTTAGGCAATTAAATCATTTTCCCAAATAACGGTCAAGGCTCATTAATTTATTAAAAATAAATCCAATGTAAAAAAATTTATTTTTCATTCTATCCTTTATTTGGCATTTTGAAAAACTACTCTGAGATCAAAGGTTACTGAAAAGAAAAAAGCCAATGTGGAAGCTTACCTGTTGATTGGCTGGTGCCATCAAATAGATCAACAAGGTCACCAGATGACTTGCTGCTAGGCACTGAAGTCTGAAAACACATGCAGAACTTAATAAAGCTTGGAAAACAAATTTCTACTGTTTTCCTAAACCTGCTCTAGTCATCTCTAATTCTCAACTTAGACACAAATAACTGTAACATCCTATGGGTACATTTAGTTTTCTGAAAAACTAACTTTCTTTTTAGAGTTAACTACAATCTGCAGGATACGTAAGAAAAATGTTTTCCCCTTGCTACTTCTGATGCGAAGACACGAGCTGGATAAACACAAGTTGGGGAGACCGCCAAGACATTAGCTTGTGGCCAGGTTATCTAGTAGGTGGATTTCATTTCTGAGGGTGAATTAAAAAACAAATGAAGAAGGCAGGAGAAAGTAGTGTTGCTACTGATCAGTAATGAGGCAAATAAGCCTCCCTTCATAGGGAATATAAAATGAGACTATTTCCCCTATATATGTAGTTGGTCCTCTTCTGTCATTTCTTGCAACTTCTAAACACTCCTGTTTTCCTCAGTGAATCTCAATTGTGTTTGGCAACCAGTCATGGTGTCTAGAAGGAAACAAATGCACTAAATTCTGACTTGCCACCCTTCCCAAACGAACCCAAAGTGTCACTTCTACTTTCACAGGAAGTGCATATACAATCATACAGCAAGTGGACAGGTTTCTTCCCCCAAAGAGATTTCTTATTATTGACTCTGAGTAATACAGCCCAGACGATCTATAATCAATATGATGGCCTAGAAATGCCAAACCCTATTAATGCAGTAATTCTAGAAGTAACCTATAAGAACGAACTGTATATAGTGTGTAAACTCACGCCTTTCCCACCTTAAGTGAAGACTGAGGTGTATGAATGGAAGCATTCTGATCTGGACTTGCTTTGTCCCCTGTGTAATGTGCTGCTGCTCCAAGATCAATGGTTTTAGAAGGATTTGCTGTGCGCTTGTGTCTGGTTGTGGTGGTCTCTGTGGCCTGTGTGATATGGATATGCTTTGTCGTCACAGTCTCCTCTTCATCTTTGAATTCACCTTTGGGAGATCTGCCTCTTCTTGCTTTCTTTTCCTCATCACTGTCGCTAAAAGATATTAAAAATGAAGCAAAATAATAAGACTAGGGATTATTTTAAAATGGAGCCCTCAGTGATTTGAGCTAAAGAATTTCAAAAGCAGTAACTCCAAAATTCCATACCCTGACTATTTGACAGGGATCAACAGAATGTTATCCCAGCTATCTGAATAATGATATGTATGTGTTGGGGAGGGGAAATGGGATCCCGGTCAATTCCCTAGATAAGTCTAAAACACTGCTACAAAAACATATTTACATGAATGTGTACAAATAAAGCCTGAAGTAATTCAAGTGTTTATTATAGATTTAAAGCTTAATTAAAAAATAAAATGGCAGTATTATCATATCAGAATCAACTGATGAGATCCTGTGTACTCAAACATCTGCATTTGATGACCATTTTCTTGAAATGGATGGTGTGCAAACTTCAGTCCCATTTCAGTAACAATTCTGTCACTGATTCATACACTCACATAAACATATAATAAAATATTACAATTTCAGTGGACACATCTTAAACACTATCCCAACTAAATTCAAATGATTAAATGTTCAACTGTAAATGCAAAAAAAATGAAGTATGGCACTTTACAACAACAGTGCTCTATTTTACTTAGTATAAGGAGAATAAGCTTTTACCTTACTATGAAAATTGCTTTATAGTAAACAAGTATATTTAAAATGTTTTGAAGTAATTCCTTTTTAGGCATACCCAAAACTATTCTGTTTTTTAGTGGGACAAAAGAAAAACATACATAATAATTTAAAAAAACTGGGTTTTTCATATGCCATGAATTTAAAACATCAGCACTAATTTGTTCTTCAGTAATAAAGCATTGAGGCTTTTTTTCTGGTGCTAACAAGACAGAAATTACCTGAAATATGTTCCATTACCTATATTATTTAATTTTAGAGTAGATGGTTTAATTTATAAATACTCTGAAATAAAACACTTAAAATTATACTAATTCATCTCAGACAAATCTAAAGCCATTCTACTTAAAGATAAATCAATTTGGAACCTCTATAATTCAAGGATCAAGAAGAGATTCTCAGATACAGCAAAAGGGTTAAAGGTATTCTTATCTATAAGCATTTTAGGGAATCCACAAGTTCCAATTAAGTGTTCAAAAGCCCTTGTCTTACATCAATTTTTTAGCAACAGATAACCTAAAGATTCCCACCATCAGCCCTGTAAGTAAAACTAGAATTTCTTACCTTTCTGATGTCCAATTTAGTATCAGTGCAAGGTAATTTCTTTATACGATGAGAATATAAAACTGACTGGCACATAATGAAATGGAAGCTTCGTATCTGATCAGTGTTCAAGAATTCCTGAATCTAATAATGAACTAATAATAAGTCTGACATTTTGGTAACATGCCAGAGGTCACACACAACTTTGTCTAAAAATCTACCCTTCTTTCACAAATACTTGAAGATGTGAAGTCCCCTGGTGTGCTCTTCAGTTACTCTGATGAATAATACACTCTATATTTTTACTCTTTTAAATCCAAATACTCTATATAAAAGATTTAGGAACTAGAAGAACCTGTTGTAGAGGTAACATTAAAAAAAAAAAAAGCAGGAAACAGAAAAAAAAAAATTGAGGGTGGTAGGGTAAAGCAACAGCACAAGAATGCACATAGATCTCTAACCAGCCTACCTACATGATTTCCACATTTCTTCAGGAAATAGCAACACATTATATGGCCACTGTGTTTTCTAAACCAAACTAAAAACGCAAACACACAGGCCATGAGGACAATAATAAGAGAAAAAATAGAATATTCACAGAATATCTGAGTAGGCACGGTTTCCCATTTATTATTATAACATACATACTCTTCAGTATAGAAGAGCTAAAAATGTAGTTGTAAAATAGATATATTCAAAGTATGAAAGTAAATTCTGGCTCTTCAAAGATTATATTCCAGAAACAGTCTTTGAAAAAGGCATTTGAGAAATTTAATACAGAAACATACCAGGGCACTGAACAAATATTTTAAATTTCAAATTATATTTTTATTTTTACTTCTTTTTAGTGACCCCTAAATCTGAACTATTAAGATTTTTTTTTTTTAAGGGGAAAAAAGAGAGAGAGAGAGAGATGGTACTTATTACAAGAACTCCCTTGAAGAAACAACTCCATCACTAACTGTTACTTTAGGAAAGTTCCACACAGCCTGATTAGGCATCAGGTTTTACTTCTAAAAAATAACGGTAAATCCTTGATCTAGCCTATCCAAGAGAAATACTCTGAAGCACAAATGACAAAGAACTTGTAAAACTTGCTTTGCAAATGAAGTGCTTATATATATATTACCCTTTTAACTTTTACATAGGTATATTGATAGGTAAGAACAAAAAGTGAATGCTGAGAAGTTCAAAGTATTGTTCTACATAAAATGAAATACAAATGCCCTAACACCAGAAAATACAGTTTATGAAAACATAGATCTACACTTGAAAACATTTTAGCTTAAAAATTCATCTGGATTTTTTTTTTCCTGTAACACTAGCATGAAATCATAATAAAATGTCATAGAAAGAGTTAAATTTCAAACACTTTAACTTTTGTTTAAACTTATTTAAGTTTATTATTAACAAACTCCATTATTCCTCAGCGGTAACTTAGATGGCTGGCTGATCTGATGCCCAAATGCAAAATGAGCCACGGAAATTCTTACTGGGAAATTTTTTCCCCCAATAGTCTGAATAAAAACACAGAAAATGTAGTCAACTTTAGAAATAAATGGACACAGACAACATGGAAAGTGCATCAATACTAATTACAAATAATGTTTGACCTAGCATCTTAAAAACAGCTGCAGAGTGTTCACATCAGCAGCAAATGCCTTAAAACTAGAGTAATACAGAGACAAATAGCATGGCCCCTGTGCAAGAATGACATGCAAATCATGAATCATTCTGTATTTTTATACAGGGCATTTTTAGGGCAGTGCAACTATTCTGTATGGTTCTATAATGGTGGATATTTATGCATTTCTCAACTGTACAGCACAGTGAACCCTAATGCAAGTAACAGATTTTAGTTAAGAACAGTAGATCAATATTGGCTTTCAACTGTTAATAAATGTATCACACTAATGCAAGATGTTAGTAACAGGAGAAATATATCTCTGTGTGTGCGCATGCATGAGTGTGTACATATATACCCATGCTCAGGATGGGGGGTTAACATGGCAACTCTGTTACTTTATGTACAATTTTTTTTTTCTGTGAACCTAAAACCGTTCTAAAAAAAGAAAAGAAAAAAAGAAAATCTGAACTTCAGATAAACAAAAACCCAGCTTCGTATACGGAGGAGAGCATCCTTTCCAAGAGACCCAGAAAACAAAGTGTTAATACCTGCATCTTTCTGGAGAGTCTTCTCTGTCTTTCCTCCGGAACTTGCTGATGGTGTCATCAATTGTGCTTCCAATTTTATCACTCAGTTCACCCAATTTATCACTGAATGGAAAAGCACTCTTGTTTTTATCCCACTCTTCATCCCATTTTGATTTGGGTTCAGGATCATATCTTTCGCCTATATAAAGTATTAAAAAGAAAAGCAACTCTAAGGACATTAAATTCAAAAGGTGTCTATAGTCCTTATTTCTGAAGCTTTTCCTCATAATAAAATAGTTTTCAAAGGAAAACAGAGCGCTCGCACAGTGCTGGGTCAGCACAATTACAGCAAGGCACACCATGTAGTGCTAGTCAGTAAGTGGCAGGAGTGCAGATTCAAAAGCTTCTGTTTATGAAAACTTACACCACCTTAATGCACAGCACAGCATATCAGGAGTTCTTAAAAGAGCAGAGGGAAACACAAAAACCAATGCAGGCTATATAAGCCAAAGAGAAATGGGAATATTTTTGTTTTTATACAAGTCACACAATGCACTGTATTTCATTCTTGTCTCTTAATAGTTCTTCAATTATTAGAAAAGTACTGGACAGCATTAGTCTCTTAAAAAACACCAACTATAGGTGACAGCACTCTGAATGCTACACATCCTGGTATGCTGTAAATATGCTGAAAATAACTCATTCTTTAAGTCTCAAACTAGAAAAATAATTCAATGGATTTCACGGCATGGGAAAACATCTTTTAATTATTATAAAAAAAGAAGAATATTCTCACCACCCAGAACTACACAGACTAGAATCATGAAATACGCTCAAGCAGTTCAGAACAGTGATGATCTATTAAAACACCACGTCTCAACATATGCTGGGATGGCAAAACCTAGGGAGACTCTGTGTGAATATGAGAATGAAAACAATAGATCACGGCAATAAACAAAAACCCCAAAATGTCAAAATTTGTTTTAGACCCTGACCTTGGTGGCCTAAATAAGAGGGATTCTAAGCATTAAAAAGAACCTCTCCATTTCCACATCCAAACTCAACCAAAAAGACAAGAGTAGAGGTACAGAGAAATCAGATGAGGTTAAAAAGAAGAAAACAATGAAAACTAAGGCAGGCTGGAGAGAAAAGGGAAAACACAATGAAAAATAACAAAATAATTAAAAGGTGGCTGACTGAGCCTGTGTGCTGCAACTTTTGTGACCAAGTTCTGGTGGCCAAAAAGCACTCTGGAGATTGAATACCACTCTGCAGAACTGCCTGTTAAAACTGCAAAGCCAATATTTTTGTAAAAGGATTTTAAAATATGTCCACTAGATCTGAAAGTGACCACCAACTTAAAGAGAATTTGACAAAATTTTAACCAGATGGCTTTATAAAAATGAGTGATTTTCCAATAATGTGAACACACATTTCAATGAAAATGTGATAAACTAGATTTTGAAAAGACAAATTTATAGGAAAAATGAAAGCAGATGAAAACAAAACTGATTAATGTAATGGATATCCTACTAAATGAGTGTCAAAGATACTGGATTATTGGCAAGACACCATCTAAGGTCAAAATGAAAAGACACAAAACAGCTAAAGTTGATTAATTAAGTTTTTGACCAATAAATATAACATCACAAATAATTTTAAAAGGATGTGATACAAATACATAAGATTTGTTCAACTCTCCCTCTAAGGCAGATATGGTAATTAGTTCACAGTGACTGAGTCTGAGAACTTATTCAATTTTATAAATTTATCTAATTATATATTGTGCTGATAAAAAGAGGGTTACAAACAAGTAGAATGAGGAAATGAGTTGCAAATAGCAATTTCTCCTCAAAAACACATTAAATTGCTCTATAACTACTTTGAAAAAGCTAAACAACAAAATAACTACTTAGGTGAATAATCCAAAAATTTGTTACTCCACTAAACAAACAAAAACTCCAAAACATACAAATGATTTAGGAGAAATATTGCTGCCCAATTAAAGAACTGACTTTTTGTGATGCTTAGTCATAAAAGGAATTTTCCTGTTAAAAACATCCTTTAATAATTAAGTATAATTTTTTATCTTTGAGAGCAAGGAAGCAAAAAAGCATAGGAACAAAGATATTATTTTATAGATAATCACAAGGTAAGAAATAGAAAATTTTTACACAGTTCCAATGCAGGAGTTCTGAGATCCCAGTGTAATCCAAATACTAAAAAAACCTGAGATATGGGTGGGGGGAACTGAGAAGTCCCCATCTGTGGCTAAGTATACACCGCACTAGCCTGTCTGTGTATACACAAAATGACCAAGGGATGGTCAGAGCTTACAGAAGACAGAATGAATCCAAAGCAACATGTTGTAACAGAGAGTTATTTTCTGTGCCTGTTTCAAGTACCTAGTGATCTATTTTGGGGAAACTGTATTAGTATATTAAAAATAAACAGGAGCAATCAATGTTCTAGCTGCTCTTAAATGTGTTAGGAATAAAGTGATAGGCCTAGGTGAAAAACTGATTGTATTGTTAGTCTCCTTTTTCTATGTCAAATTAAAGTGCTGTTTACTTAAGGGAAAAGAGGCTGACGCAAAACTAACTTATAGGAAGCTTACCTGTTTTTGGCCCCAGATAGAGCTGATTTGTTCAAAATCTCTTCAAACTTTGTATTTTTATGCTCTAGATGGTGAGGAAGAGAAATGCTTTTTTCTTTTTAAAAATGGTAATTCCAAGAGGAAAGGGTAATATCTGTTTTATTCTCTGTGTGTCAATTTAAAAAGTTTATAGTCATTTGATTAACAACTAATGGTTAAAATCTTATTCTTGAACGCACAAAAGTAAAAAAAAAAAAAAGAAAAAAGAAAAAAAAAGAAAAGACAAGGAAGAAAAGAAAAGAAGATTCCTAATATCCATATAATAGAAGCCAAAATGAGTACTTCAATACATTAGTATTCTATTTCAGCGGTGGGGGCGGGAGGTGGGGCGAGATTTTGGTCTTTTGTATTTCCGTGATTCTTAAAATACACACAAGGAAGCTAAACAAATGCTTAGGTGTCAGTTTGTCTTTGATACTTACTGTATCTGAATCCTCCAACACTGTCTGAGGAAACCCCAACATACTTGTCTTTGTTCTTCTTTGCTTTCTTTCGCTCCTCACGAAGCCTGTCGTCATCCTGGGCAAATTCAACCAATTCTTTCACCTTCTGGCGAATATTTATACCTTGATCCTTGCCATGCTCATCTGTGAGGATGGTAAGGGAGAAACAAAATCTTAAGAATTCAATTAATAAGTATCAAGCCCTTTAACACAAAAAACAGACATGAAAATTTCAACATTAAAAAAACAACTTCAGTATTTAAAATTAACAAAAAGAGGCAAATAGTGCTATGGAATTTTGTCATTTTCTCATCGGCAAATTCTAAGTCTCGAGAAGCAATTCTGGCTTATAAAAGCATATAAAGATGAATTTACAAGGACTATAGATACTGGTGCTACACAAGATCAATGAAAGATCTACTAAAAAGCATTACTAATGATGACCATATGAAAAAGACTTATATCCATAAATGTTTTCTTTTCCTACAGTATTTTAACCACCACCACCACAACAACAAAAGATCCACTTTAACATTTTAATGACTAAAATGTACTCAAATGCTCTGGTTTCCCCAATACAAGTTTGGAAATAATAATTACCAGAATTTAGTGTGGCTAAAAAACTGAATTTTTAAAGTGCTTTCAACTGGGGTACACTACAAAATGAAATGTGTTTTATTCTGTATCCTCGTTCACATTCAAAACACACTCTGGCCTTGCTGCCTTTGCACAGTAAATATTATTTGGTGGGAGGGGGAAAAAAAAAACCCAGCTTCAAACAGATGTGTGTGTTTTGGAGCTCTAACCTTTTCTTCCCATATGATTAAAGCTATTCCTTTATGGACACCACAGGGGACCAGTCTCCAGTGCATATTTTAATATAAACCCGAACACTCATGTTGTGTTGGTTCTGTTGTTATTAGCCAGTCTTTTCTGCAAGTTCTTGTCTTCACTAATTAATACTCTAGGGCCCCACGTCTTGGATTCTGCACTCGTCACACAACCAGCAATAGTCACATTCTAATTAGAGCGGAGAAGCTTCTAAGCTGGTTCAGGTGACTGACAACTCCAACTACTGTTTTAATTTGCTTATAAGGTTTTTCTATTGCTCACCTACAAAGTGGTAATTTTCCAGGGATCGCAAATCATAAATGTGTTCTCTGGCACTTGTAACAACACGCTCTGATCCATTCCTTATGAGGTAAGCTAGAAGCAGCAATGACTGTAAAAATACAAAGCACCAAATGATTTAACAAAATAAATTCTGATAGAGCTTTGGTAAATGGTTAAAAAAATAATTTCAACATCAGGAAATAAATAATCTTTGTGGGGGTAAGTAGGAGGCAGGGAGAGTTTCTTTACCTGACACTGGACTTTAAATACATAGTCTAAAACTTACATTACCAATTTGAAATTCCTTTTATAACCACGGTAAATAATCACACTGTCCACTGGACATGATGCATCAAAAGATTAAAAAAAATAGCTCTC